CCACCACCGCCACCGCCGCAGCCGCCACCGCAGCCGCCGCCGCAGCCGCCACCGCAGTGCCGCGTAGGGATTGTGCTGCCGTGACCGGGTCTCCCCCCACCACACTTGCTGATGAGATCGGTGAGTCTCCGTCATTTCCCAAGACTGCAGCATGAGCTATATTTATATTCCCCATGCCAGACACCCGGGGTCCTCGGCTGTGTACCACGACACATTCTATCTTGACGAATTATAGAATGCTGCCCGGGCCCCCGGGGGGTCCTCTGGGTATGTACGTGCCAGCCCTTACCCTTATCCTGACAATGATTCGGTAATTGGTGCTGTTAATGCCGGTCTGCAGACTGCCTATTCTCAAGGGGAGGCCTGGGGGACAAGAGATGAATTTTATTCTGTGTCTTGATTTTCTTTTTATGTCTGTTGGCTTGAGGACAGCTTTAGGAAGACCCGCCAGGAGGCAGGTGTGAACTCTCCTCTGGCTAGAGAGCCATCCTGGTTACTGTAAACTCATTTGCATGGATTCTAGCCTGTTTCAGACCTGTCTGTCTGTCCCACGCAATTCTAGAGAACAGAAAGCAGAAGTCAGATGGACAGAAGTGGTTACACATGGCCGAGAAAGAATCAGGAATGGAGAGGGAGAAGGGTTCAGAGATTTGGTAGAAAGCTTGGGGATGGGCTGGAGAGATGGCTCGGCAGTTAAGAGCACTGACTGCTCTTCCAGAGTCCTGAGTTCAATTCCCAGCAACCACATGGTGGCTCACAACCATCTGTAATGAGATCTGGCGCCCTCTTCTGGCCTGCAGGGACACATGCTGTATACATAATAAATAAATAAATCTTAAAAAAAAAAAAAAAAAAGAAAGAAAGAAAGATAGCTTGGGGATAAGGTAACTCTTTTCATTTGCCTGTTTGCTGGCAGAAGTTAGATAATTCCCATGAAATATCGGAGTCAAAATGGCCAAATTTACTGGTATCCGCCCCTATGTCCCATGACTGCAGCCTCCCCGACATAAGGGCTACAACTTAAGGATCTGGAGAGCAAGGCTCCTGACCACAGAGGTGGAAGTTTTTTTATAATAAGCAAACAGTTTAGAATGTTAGGATCCTGCCCTCACTCCCGCACATGCGCAGTTCGGGGTCTTGCATCATCAGTGTGCGCTGGCAGCTACGTATGCACCTTAAAAAGCCAGACGCAGACCGCACCCTCTCTCTCTCTCTCTCTGATCTGCTCCCTCTCCCCCGCTACCATCTTTCTCTC